ATGTTACAGCAAATGCATATGCCTGGCAATTTCCCTCCACCGCACCTACTACGAGGATTTACGAGGGGTGCACCTTTGCCTCCACATCCCATCAATCGAACGACTGGTTTTATACAGGAATCAAGTCCAATGCAAGGATTTCCTTTCGGTCAAAGGCAGCCCAACTTTAGTAGCCTTGGAATTCCACCACAAGGTAAAGGCACTTGGCAGTATTTTGCCTTTGAACTGTTGTAAGTTTTGGTTAATTTCAAAGTTAGAGTCTTGCCTTCATACCTCTCTGTTAATTTCAAAGTTAACACTGGAATCCCTCTCTATTTCATTTGTTTCTGTTCAAAGTTCTGGACTTAGTTCACTGTTGCCAAGGGTAGCATTTTTCTTTGATTACTTCTAAATTATTCTTTTCTTGGTGAATGGCGCAGCTCCTGATGTTGGTGGAGGAACTCATCCTCCAGAGGCACTTCAAAGGCTCATAGAGATGGAACTGAGATCAAACCCTAAGCCAATTCACCCTTTTGCGACGGCCAGCCATAGTCAGGGGATATATGGTCATGAGCTGGACATGGGTTTTGGATATAGATAGTAAATTCTAACCCCGGTTGTGTATACGATGAGGTATTTGTGATATCATGCGCAGAACCACCTTGCATGGGGTGGGCGGTGGGTTTAATGCGTTTCTAGGGGAGAAAGTACCTCAGGTTGGATGTAATTAATGGCTATTTACATGAAATTGGCATTCGGATGGGATTTTTAATTTTTCTTTAGCTTTTTATATTTGAAACCAAAGCCCCCAAGAAGCCTGAAACAGCAAGTGACTTTGCCAGGTCTTTCTTCCAATATAAGTTGCTGCTTCACTAGAGTACGAGGTCATTGTTGTAATGGGTGTAGTAACGTTGCAAAACTGTAAAGATGTTTTTATGGGGTTGATCTTCTACTCTTTTTTTTTTTTTTTTTTTTTTTTTTTTTTAGCATGTCTTTTATGGGGTTGATCTCTACTCTTTTTTTTTTTTTTTTTTTTTTTTTTTGTTCTATGTTTGAAGGTCTATACTAGAAGTAGACAAGGTCAGGATTGATCAAGTAGAAAAATGGGAAAATATCTGAAGATCCTGTCAACGTTTTCTCTAAATTCTGTGACAAATTTTAATTTGGACGTGTCATACATTTTTAAAGTTTGTGGATTGGAATAATTTAATTATAAATAAAATAAATTAAACGTTTTTTTTTTTTTTTTTTTTTTTTTTGTGTTTCTATGTTTGAAGTCTATACTGAAGTAGACAAGGTCAGGATTGATCAAGTAGAAAAATGGAAAATATCTGAATATCCTGTTCAACGTTTTCTCTAAATTCTGTGACAAATTTTAATTGACGTGTCATACATTTAAAGTTTGTGGATATGAATAATTAATTATAAATAAAATAATTAAACGTTGGTGAAATAATAGAAGGTAGCATTTTCACCTTCATTTTAACGGGGATGCGTATTGGGCCTATTTATTGAACCGATGGCTAGGATAGGAAGTGAAGGACGCAGCATTTCAATATTTCTAATGACTGATCCGTCGTCCGTGCATATGCTCTACACGAGATTTTCATTTTGATTTGCCAACCTTATTACAAAATTTGATTGATAGTAATTACGAATAAACTATACAATTTTTTTTTCTACTAACAATATACTTATTTTTTAACTATAAATATACAATTTAGAAGCTATTCCTTCAAGGTGTATTATATTCAATTTAAAAATATAAAAAGGATAGAGAAACCCCTAATAAGTTTGAGATAATCAAATTTCATGTGGAAAGCAGCTAACCTTTCATTTTCATATCCATTATTTATTGATAAATACAGATACCGAAAAGATTCATCTCGCCTACAAGACCTCAAAAAGCACATCTTATGACAAATATACAGCCAAAAACTCACTCAAAACTCTATACATGGTAGCCTCTGGGTCCAACAGTGAAGATACTATATCTACATTGCAAGGAGTGTAAGTAAAATACTACCAGCATACAGAACCAGGAAGAGCAAATTGCCTATATTACATACATACATACACACACACACACACACACACACATATATATATACAAGCTTCTTTGACACTATCCAATTGTTTGGATCGTGGCATAGCGGATAATTTTCCTCCACTAGAATTTACTATTCTTAGCAAGCAGTGATCCATCATCTGTGGGAAGACGGGGAAATTCCCAAGATATATCATCATGCTCATTTACTGCTAATCAAAAAGTTCTCAACCTCTCACTTCTTTTGGAGTTCTATCAGTATCCATGTCAACGAAAGGGCCAACAGATTTTGCCTTCTCGGTGTCGATGTCATATGATGCAAGCAACCTTCTCTGCATCAATTTCATATAAAGTTAAACAAACGAGTGAAAATGCATCAAGGTGTTGTCGAACTCGATGTCAATCATACTCTCAGGGGCAAGAATGCAAGTTACTACAAATCATTTACACAGAAATACACCATTCCATAAGGTCATTAAAAATGAAGAGGGAAAAAAAGAAGAAAAGAAAGAAAAACAGAATTTCAAAGGTGTGGATTTATTTATTAAAGACAAAACACCCTTGTAACCAAGAGTAGCTTATAAAAGTGAAATTTGCAAGTGTCTGGTGGATCCCCATATTTTTTAGTAAATACCTAAAATATCCATCAAAAGTATCTCACTGCAACGCCTCATAAAGACAGTTCAGATTTTTTCTCATTTGATGGGTCCATTATAAGCTATAATATGTAATAAAAAGAAGAAACAAAAAGAAAATGACAAAAACAGACAAAAGGAAGGAAAAATAGAAGGAACGAAGAGGAGAAGGGGGAAGAAAAAAGAAGGAAGAGGGTAGTAACATTGTTGCACTTACATGATCCTCAAACTCAGGACTTGTCAAATTAATGGAGAGGTTTCTCATCAACAGTAATACCTGGGATATAGACAAAAAAAAACCTTCTGAGTACAGACCATCTTCAGAATAATTAGAATCTAGAATAACAAGCTTGCTTTTTCTTAACACTAGCTGAAAGAGTGCTTTTGCCTAAAAAATAAATTCTGGAACTATGGCCAAAGCCAAATAACAACGAAATACCAATGATTTAAAATGACTTACTGTTTCCAAATTTATTGGGTCCATCTGCTTCATCTTCTGCAAGTGACCACTCGCATTGGGGTCAAAGACACTCCCAATGAAGCTGTACACTTGAGCAAAGTCTGGCATAACTGCATTTTGACAAGGATAAAATTTTCATGCATTTGAGAATCAGGGAAATAAGAAGATATCTAGATAATAAATATGCAATTGGTCAATGCAAATTTCATAAGATGTACAAATAGAAGGGGAAGGGGATATGACCATAATCTAGGAACACCTGGAACAGGAATATACACTGCATGTGAGAGACACTGGGAAGTTCAATATGGTTAACATAGAGCTATCTCACTGAAGGGACAAATATGCTTCAAAATGAAAATCTAATTAGCAATCTGATATAACATGAGCATCTCTATAAACAATCAAATTACATTCGTAGTAATCGAGCCCTCATTACTCAAACTAAGCAGTAAGCACATGTATACTGACCTCGTACTGCCTTGCCCTGATCACCTCGATCAATTATTTCACTAGTTCGCCCAGTCCTTGGGGTGCTCTCATTGCTACTACTGTAGCAACAATTATTTGCTGGTGCAGCCAATCCCACTTCATCTAAAGCCAAATCATTATAACATTATTTTAGCAAAAAATTAATAAGAGGTAGAGAAAGAGAGTCCACAGAAAGTAAGCATGAGCAAATTGTACCTTTAGTCGCTCCAGAAGCATTGACTGGTGCCATGGAATTAAAATTCCAGGATGTCAGAGGTCCACCAGTCATTGGGTTTCCAAGAACTGATGGAGGATCTGACCCGTAAACATATCTGGGCTCTAATGAAGCAGGTGAAGGTTGAAATGGGCCAGTCACTTGGGTTACAACTGGAGCCACTAAACATAAACACACAGTAAAAAAGGTTCAGTCCAAAATTGGAAGCATTTGACAAGCTACAAGCAGGCTACCAGACCCAAAAAAGAAAAAAAAAATGACAGACAGAAGAATGGTTGATCATGCTGACCATTTTTAGGTGCCTTCTGCGGGTATGGATGAGCTGCTTTTCTCTTTGGCCGAGGTGGAGGTACATGTTCACTTGTTCCATTCTTCTGAACCTTCAAAAAGTATTTCTGTGCATGGCTACGTATCTGCCAAGGACATGCAAATTTATAATGGATATACAATCCACCACTAGTTGTAAAATGAATACCAAAAGAATACAAAAGAAGCAGATAAGGGATCCCTACCAATCCACACAATAAATGGTTCCATCATATTGTTAATTATCTCTCATCACAGCAGTACTAAAGTCTTTACCATTTTATGAAGTTTGCTGACTGGTAGATACAAGAGATGAGTCAAGTTTTTCACTAACAGATACATTTCCGTCAGCCATTTATCTACATAGATAGATGTGTATGAACCCAATGTAAAACCGAATAACAAATGGAACAATGAAGGTAAAATGATAAACATCAGATAAAAGATGAATTAAACCTCTATGTTACGTGGACGGGGTTACATAGGTACATCACTCTGGAAATTTCATAAATATTCCATTCATCAAAGTGTCAAGGTTTCATAACAAGGTTCAAGAATCTTTATTCCGTTCATCAAAGTGTCAAGGTTTACGTACTTTATAATAGAGTGAAGAGTTCAAGGAACACAAAAATAACAAGAAGGATATAGGTAGTTGGCATATGTCATGGTCACGGTGTAATGCTTCCAAAATTTACAGAAAATACCTGGATAACTGTCTTTGATCCAACAAATGCTTCAATCTTCTTCCAATCACGATCAAATCTGTAATCAGCCACAAAACCAAAGGAAATATTAAAATTACTATATGCTATTCATTTAGAAACAAGTAAAAGAGAATATCCTCTGTTTTATTGGATTAGGAATCAACAGTTAGCTGCTCCATATTTAGGACAGATGAAGACAAAATAAGATTAGCTGACTGCTAACCCAGGTGAATTCACCTTTTTTTTTTTTTTTTTTTTTTTTTTTTATCCTCTGTTTTTATGGATAGAATCAACAGTTAGCTTGCTCCATATTAGGACAGATGAAGAACAAAATAAGCATAGCTGACTGCAAACCCAGTGGAATTCACCTTTTTTTTTTTTTTTTTTTTTTTTTTTCGGCAAACTGAACAGTTGAAACATGCAATGGCAGTTTTTGATTAAAAAAACTTTTTTTTTTTTTTTTTTTTTTTTTTTTCGGCAAACTGAACAGTGAAACATGCATTGCAGTTATTTGATTAAAAAAACAGAATTTTTTGTACTTCGGCAGAAAATTTCCTTTTGGTACATCAGCAATTTTTAAAGGGGCTGCAAGGGGTTTTAGGGTCTGAAATAGATAATTTAGAATTTTGAATGTTAGTTTTATTGCCAGATCCTGGAATAGCAATAAACTCAACTTACGGCAACTTGATGAAATTTTGGGATATTTAAGTTACTTTATGTTAGCATCTAAAGTAATATTCAAATACCTCTATCCTTAAAGCAGCAAAAGCGAACCCACAAATTGAAGAACAAAATAGAAATAACTAATGATAATAAAAACAAATTGCAAATTAACCATAGTTTATGTTTCATCAATTACCAATTATTAGTTTCCCAAATTCTATCCCCTAATTCCCCATTTGACTGCTAATAGAATATACAGGAACGGAATAAGGGAAGGAAAATGTAGCATTTTCTTAATAGCAGGACACAAATGCAAAAATTTCTTCACTTCCCATCATTTCCATCTCCCAATTTTCACTGCAACCAATCAGAAGAACTCCAACAACACAATTCACCAAACACTAAATCACCGCCCCTAAAAAAGTAAAATTAAAAGCGGACCGACTTACAGTTGAAGCGCTTCTAGAAACTTATCATGCTCCTGTTCCGTCCAGCTCTCTCTGGACTTGGTAATAGTATACGGCTTTCGGATCTTCTTATTCGGATCATCAGCAAAAGCCACAGTATTAGCAGCCGCACTTGTAGTGGACGTGGCAGTGTTACCCGCCGCAGTTGTATTATTAGTAGCCGTGGTACTGGCAGTAGAATTCATCTGCGGCGGCAGAGAATTGAGACCCGGAAGTCCCATACTCATGGGATCAAAGAAGTAAAAACCCTGAGCTGGGTTGGGATTCACCGACACCATAAGCTAAAAGCACAAAAATGCTTCCTTCCTCTTTTAAGGTTCGAGTTCCGGTTCCAGTATGTCTCCGTAATCTCCAGTTTTATCTTGCTAAACCAGTTTCGTCTTCGCTTATTTTTGGAGGTTATTGGTTAAGTAAAAGAGTGAGACAAGCTAAGAGAGAAGAGGATTGTGGCTTAAAAAGAACATAGAGTTTTTATACATACATAGAGAGAATGGTGGCGGACTGGTGGTGGAGATGGTGGTGGCATTTAGGACGAAACTAACCTTACCAGCTTTCGTCGTGATCGTACACGTGTCATGATATTGTTGCCTGGATTGGAAGATGGGGTATATCTCCATAAGGCAAGTGGCATTTTTTCTGTTACCGTTGTATATTAAAAAATAAATAAATAATAAAGGGTTTTATTTACCCGCGGAAATTGACCCTCGAATGGTAGGTCAAAAACTCAAAATTTCGTTAGAGCAAATATCGTATCGTGTAGTCAATATTTCAGGTAAGAGACAGTCCAGAAAATTTCGGTTTTTGTTAGTAAAAAATAAATAACCGTCCTTACGCTTTTTATTATGTTATTTTAATTTAAATTTATTGACATTGTAAATCAGGTTAGAACGTAACCCTGATTTACGAGTTATAATACAGTAACCTGATTCTATGCAGGGTGTTTACATAAAATTGGTTAAATAATCGTAGAATCCACTTTAAAAAAATAATTAAAAAAAAAAATTCAAGAGAAGTAATAACGGGAGAGAGAAAAATTTATATAAAAAAAAATGATTCATATGCACTGTTTCATTTATATTTTTTTACTACAAGTAACCACTTGTAAATTAAACCGATAAAAATGGGTTTAATATTTTAAATTTATTATAAAAGTCAGGAAATGATATACGTCGTTGAAAAGATTACAGAAATCATTTAATTAATCTGTTGTCGTTTTGTGGCATTGCCCATTCGAACTTATCTACAAATCCATGGTTTTGTTATTGTAACTGATTAAAGAAACCTTTTTGTTTTATATTACTCTTTAAGTTTAAAATCTGTCAGGCCTGTTGGGAATTGAAACTTAGGAAGTTAGTTAGGACTTGGGCACAACAAAGTAATCAGAACAGGGATAACTAAACTCCTCGAGAGCTAAGATGATGAAGCCACGTGTGACTATAAGACGAAATTCCTCTTGCAACCTTCATAGGAATCACTGGTGAATGTTGTGCCCGAAGGTTCTAGGACTCTAGTATGGTCCAGAACATGGCACTGGAATGGCATATACTTGAGCGACAGAATTGGAAATTTTAGCATGATAAAATAAACATATACAAGTTTAAGTTGAGCCAGCTAATTTTTACGAAGCAAGTGTTCCTGTGAAAGAGAGGTTCGGTTCCCTTTCCTACTATGGGCTACACTTTAATGGGAATGGGGTACTCTTTGATGAGTTTATGATTATATTTGTTTTAGTAATTATAAAAATTTCTCATGATTCAATTCGATTTATAGAATTCGTACAATCAAAGTAATATTACCAGTTTATAAAAAATGTAAATTAAATGTTACAAGGTACATTAGTTTGTCAAAAGGCCAAACAACCCACATATCACTGAAATGCCCACATGGCTGGTAACATTTTGAAAACAAAAAGGGATAAAAAAAAAAAAAAAAAAAAAAAAAAAAAAAAAAAAAGAAATTAAATGTTACAAGGTACATTAGTTTGTTCAAAGGCCTCAAACAACCCACATATCACTTGAAATTGCCCACATGGCTGGTAACATTTTTGAAAACAAAAAGGGAATAAAAAAAAAAAAAAAAAAAAAAAAAAAAAAAAAAAAAAAAAAAAAAAAAAAAAAAAAAAAAAAAAAGAGACCAAAAAGAATGATTTACAAATTGTTTGAGGAAGCACAAACCTCCGAAGAATAATAAAGCGACAGGCAAAAAATAAAGGTTAGGTAATCGCCGCTCTCTTTCTTCCACAGCCTAATCTAGCCAACGAGTAACTCCATCGTCTTCCCCAACAGCTGCCAGAATCTCTATGCGTACATCCAAAACAGCCTGAAGTTTTTGAACCACATAAAGCCTTTAATTACAGCAAAACTATGGGGGCAAAAAAGGCAAAGGAGAGACTTTAAGACCTTCACAGACTGCCTCTTGCATATTGATGTTTTTACGCATACATAATAGAAAGTGACAGTCAAGCATATATAATGAATACAAGACTAGGAATTGTTAAATGAAGCAAGGCAGTTAAATATGTCCTTTTCGGTCCAAAATCAAGACAGCGCAAGAGGAATTATTAATTTTAAAACTAATTGTTAAACATTGACATAAATCCTCGAGTTAAAATCAATGCATGGCAAATTCATGTTAAAAACTGTTACTCACCAGAGGGTTTCTACAGTTAACCAATCTACATTCTTCAAAAGAACCTTCCAACATCCAACTCTCCCACACATCAAAGCTGTGACTAGCAAACACAAATTCCATTCTTCTGTTAATCTGCAATTTCAAAGATAACACTTGACCTCAATCATGTGTAACAATTGAATTTAGTTACTACACCATTACCAATATATTAAGCATATCGTTCTTCATGTTCTAATCATGCCATAAAATCAGAATACATGGAAATGCTCAAGTCGAGCTCTATCTTCCTTTTTTTTTTTTTTTTAAACCACAGAAATGAAGATCATCGACTAATAACTAGATGTGTTATGATTAGAGGCATACAATTCGTCTGCTGAAGAAATGCCCTACATACAATAGCCTTATCCAAAGTCTAATCCTACACATGACTTGTCTACTATCATAAGTGGAACACTGCAAAGCATAAATACAAACAAAATCCAATGTTTTACTATTTCACAATGAAGTCATTCAATTCAACGTGTTCAAAGAAGGTCCAATCAACAATGAAGTCATATAGTAACCAAAAAAAAGGAAGAGTCCAAATGCCATTTGCACTCTCCAACAACTATTGTCTAAGAATATAAAGTACCTGCAATAACTTCCCACCAGCAGCAAAAGAACGCAATCCAATAGTGTCCTGAAGTCATAACACACATTAATTAAGAAGTAATTAGAATTATATACAGACTTTAAACAGAAGAAAAAGAAAAAGGGAAAGCTTTCTGCCAGTACAAACCTTGCTTCTGAAAACAACAAGGAATTGTGCTGCAGGATCTCTTTTTGTCACATTTGACATGGCATCCAGGAACCAACCACCGCCTTTAACTCTCTGCCTCGATACATGGAGCGCAGGGTGATCTCTTGCATATAAGGCAATAACATAACCATCTTTCAACAGTTCACCACATTTTCCACTGAGCTTCTTGCTTGATTTTAAAAGCTGGTCAGCAGGTGAATCTTGCATAGATTCTATTGGCATTTTCCTAGTTCTTGAATCTTCAGGGGAAGCAAATCGAGATCCAGAACTTAATACCTGATCTGTACCACTCATAGCAGTGTCATCTTCTCGATGGGAAGTACTTTCTTTTTCTAATTGAGAAGGATCATTTGATTTCTGTATAGATTTTTGACGGCCATGTCTTTTTTTCGCTTTCTTACCTGATCTGCTGCGTCTTCCTTCAGACCTTACAGCCATAGTTTGAGACAAGCCAGAACCTTGAGTTTGACTAGGAGATTCTGTTGGTCGATTAATACCCTTTTTGTTGGAGCTTTCAGGACTTACCTGAATATCATCAGTCAACTGCTCACCAACAGAAGCCTGTAGAGCACTTTCTTTCTCTTGTTTGAGCAATTGTGTATTTTCATCATCTCTTTCACTTTCTTCCTCGTCAGAAATAATATCCTTTGGTATAACGCCATCAAAGAAGAAAGACTGCAATAAAGATATGGCTTTCTCCCTTATCTCCATCCACACTTCTTCACTATAATCTGCACTGCGTGGAAGTATCAATACATTGGGCATCTCTTTTACCTGAAGCAAAGGCAGGACAATTTAGTGAACCTATAAAACATTGTCTTTCAGTGTGTATTGCAAAGCATTCACATCAATATCCAATCAAAAGCAGGTATTACTCTGGGCATTACTAGCGCAAAGAGTATACTCGGTGCTTGTCACGCCTAAAAAGCTTGCAAAGCATCATGTGGCTTCTAAATAAGAAAAGCAGGGAATAGGTCCTGTCCTTGTTCTCCTCTATAACTCAAAGTTTTGTTTTGATCTACAATCAGTTAAGTAAAGCAACAAGTTCAAGATAGAAAATGGGTTCTAAGGCACTGTTAAGTTTGCTGCTACAAAGAAATTCTTTATTTTTGCTTTTTTGAAGTTTTGAAAGCAGGATTGTTTCGCTAAGCTCTGTTTGGTTAGCTTACTTAACTCCATTTATGCTATCCTACAAGCAAACTGCAACATTGATTAGCAAACTGCAATGTTACCCATCTCTCTTTTCGCTATATTACAAGCTCTGTTTCACTAAGCTCTTGTTATACTTTCTTTGTTTCTCCTCCTTATGTGAAGGGAGATTCATAAATTTATCAAGTGCACTGAGCCACTGTTGCACATGCTCATGACAAAATCAAAATCTCCATATAATTTTTGGCAAGGAAAAAGGTTGAATCAAACGAATCCTGCAGAATGCAATTAAAAAAAAATCTTTGGAAAAAAACAAACAGTAATAGTTACTTCAATTGCCTTCACTTATATCATATGAAGAAAATTCACATATTTACCAAGTATGCTTTCTTATTATTGCTTTTGTTTGCATCAAAATAAACAATTGTTAGAAGATGCTTTTCTGGACACAAAAGGCAAATAAACCAAATGGCACTTGTGAGAAAGCAGTCATCAATGAGAAAGAAGGTGACTAAAGACTTGAATATGAATAAAGTATGAAAGGTTCAAGTAGTAAAGAAACATAAGCATTCAGCTATAGTCACACCTTGCAGCAGCATACAAAGATACAACGTTACAATAGGAGAAACATAACAAAATGACTAAAAAGAGGTGCAAAGGTATAAAGAGCAATATAATTTATTTCCTTAATACGAGTCAACATTGCCAGATTCAGTGAACATATTGCAATTTAACCAATAATGAAACTTCAAGCCAGCTACCATCCTCCAAGCAGCAGAATGTTAGAAACGAAACAACTTAACTACAGCATAGATTATTTTCATCAGCACTTTGTAATTCTTCAGCATATTAAGATTTGTATTGCTTGTGCATTAATATGCACAGCACGTATTCACATGCATGACATGCAGACAACGGATAAAAATGTGTGCAACACATACATGTTGTAATGCTTATATGGTTATACATTCAAAATGTCTGCTAACTATATTCTAGAGAGCAATGCCCCCAACACCAGAAAAATACCCAAGCTTCCATCCACTGTGGTCCTTCAGCACCATCCAGAGCACAGCCAGCCAATGTCCCATCAATCAAAAGCTGCTTCAAAGCACAGTCATCCAGTAGCTGACTGCTGCCCGTATTCACAAGAAATGCCCCTATATGGAAATAAAAATGTAAATGCAAAAGGGATCGTCTGAACTTTTGATAAGCTCTCAAAATGGTGAAAGTAATTATACCTGGCTTTATATGCTGCAAACATTCTGCATTTAGAATCTGAACAGTTTCATTTGTTAAAGCACAGTGTAGAGATATAAGGTCACTTGCCGCTAGTAAATCATTAAGAGTATCCATTCTTCGGGCTGCAGGTGGAAATCTTAAGGAAGACCTGCTTACTTTTCCTTTCCCCTGTATAAACATAGTTCGGACAGAAGTTGACAGGGTGCAAGAGCAAAGTATAGATGCAAAGAACGACTAGACAATTACATGCACAGAAATTAAAAACTAAAAAGCCCACAGCAGCAATTCCACAATTTTCCATGGAAATCGCACCTTCTAAACAACATGATAATCACATCTCAAGCTCATGATCAAGTAACAGAAAAATACACACGTTGTATACCCAGTTATCTTACCATTCATGCGAAACCAGTATGAGGAAATGATGTGTAGTACATCCATGGCAACCTCAAATTAAATTCATGAGGACAAAATAATAAATCAATGTACTTTTAGCTATCGAATTGCTAATTGTCACTCAATGTTATGAACCCATTCCTAGAAATCAATCTCCTATTCTTCCCAATAAACTTATTGTAATTTTTGGCGGCTCCATACCCTATTACTATCCTGAAGCACATTGGATATACTATTAACTCCTGCAGAATATCTACATATCTTTTTCAAAAATAGCAACTATATACCCCAATAATTCACTGGCGTAAGAGCGTATCCAAGATCGCATTCTTGGCACTAGAAATTAAGGTTGCTTATAATTCAAATAATTATAGATCTAAATTACTCCACATTGTGAAATTTATACCTCGTGGACATCAAAATAAAGCACGCTCATCTTGAAAGCCAAGCTCCTACTAGCCAAAGACCTCGCGGATGCAGATTTACCAACGATCCCCAAAACCAGTCCTCTACATCTTCTCATTCCTCGACATAGCGGTTGCACCGAGCCAAGCCATCCAGAAGCCGAAAGCGCGTGGCGAGAGAGCAAATGAGTCCGGCGCAGTAAGCCAAGGAACAGAGCCATCACTGTGTCCGCGATCTCCTCAGCCCGCGATGCGTCCACGTGGACAAGCTGGAGCCCCAGGTCGGCAGCAAGAGCCGAGTCGACGGCACGGTCAGCAGAGCCGAGGCATAGGATGAGCTGGTAAGGACGGAGTCGGCGCTGAGCGGCACGAGGAAGGTAAGCAAGAGAGTGGAGAAGGACGGCAGCAGCTGATTCAATCTTTCCATCAGCTAGGCGACTAAGCGGCACGTGCTCAACGTTTGCGACGCCGGCTAAGGAGTCTTGCTCGATGGCGCAATCCTCGATGCAGTTGAGAGTTACGACAACAGGGAGAGCTTGCACAGGATTGTTACGGTGGGACATTGTCACAGAGGATCTGATATTGGTGGTAGTCATTACCTTGTGACTCTTGTCTGAGTATAGTTAATGTGGTGGCGGTGGAGGTGGTGACGGTCGCTGTGGTGGTTAGGGTTTAGTGTTGTAAATTTGGGCATTTCTTTGGGGTTTTTAGTCTGAAGGAAAGGAGTTATAGAGCGCATCTAAAGTGAAATGATTTGTGTCATCTGATGACTGATAAAAAGTCGTTTTTACTGTTAGGGTTAAAGGCTCCGGTGCTCCAGGACAGAGGATGAAACGTCTCCTGTCCGACTTTTGATCCGACTCCAGTCCTCATTTTTACTCTACACATACAGTGAAATTCCAATTATGTCCCAGCTCTTATCAGTAATAATATTTGAATTTTAAAGTTATCGATTGCGTAATGTATTCTACTTTAAAAACGGAATTGTCAACGGGCTTCTTCTTTGTCCTCATCTGCTACTGGTCACTGGGCAAGTTTTTTTTTTTTCTCGCCAAAGCGAAAACGAAAATGAACTGCAAAAAACGACGCGACACCGTTTATCTGATGAATGTTTGTTATTAGTTATACAGCCGTTGGTCAAAGAAAGAGACAGCGAGCTTCAAACCACTCAAGATTATGATATTTTTCAGTGTATTATGATATTTTAGAGGTAGCAAAAACATTACATCCCAGCAACAACAGAACTCTAATCAGTTATGGAAACAGTTTCCATTATTTCCAAAGTTCAAAATACAGCTTCCAACAAATTAATGAAATTTAAACGTGTCTGTGAGCTTGATTACAAGAAAACTCTGCCACACTTACTAAATAATAACAGAAAATAAAAGAGAAGCTAAAAAGAAAACAAATATTCTACATGACTCATATATATATATATATATGCATGGAAGCAAACCCACAAACCCCACTAACTCATGCTAGCTGCTGAACACGTGTGTATCTCTTGCTCGCTCGTCATACAATCAAAATATGTTTTCTCCGCTGCTGATGCTCTGCTAGTCAAAATGATGAACCATATTTGCATTTATCTCATAAACAGCCACAAGAATAAGGCGGAGAACTTCGGCTAACTCCCACTTGTTCTGTGCAAGATCCTCATGATCAATGACCTTAAGACTTCCATACAAAAAAAAAACTGTACAATTTCGATTACACCTACCAAAACCCAGGCTTAACATATCAAAGTTATTAAATTTTCTTATTTCCTTTACTTGGACATTGACATCCTCCAGGCTTGCTTCAAAATTCTGAAAGATTGCCAAAATTCTTTCTCCTGAAACATAATACCACATTCATCAAAATTATTGGTTCAGAAAAACCTCCTCCTGAAATTTCTGGTAGTTGCTTGATATGAACGCATAAGCAATCCAACACCTATTCCAATCCCAATGCACATTCCAAGGCCAATGCCGACACCAACTCTAACCCCAGCATTAAACCATGTGAGTTGGCCATCCTCACCATAATACATGTCCTCAGAGTAGTTTCTGTTCCCAATTTTCCCATCTGATTCGTACTCATCACCATCTGATTCAGCAATCTGCACAAGCACCCAATGATTATAAGCCAGTCACAACAGTAGTAACTCCGACTAAATGTTCCAATAAAATTGAGTTATCAAGAAAATTATAAAATTTGAGAACGTATAGGAAAATCTCCCTGAAAATACATTGAATAAGCATGTCAAATTTTTCATAAATGCATTGATCAGCAATTACATCAAAACTCTGCAGGATTTATAAAAATCAACATATTAACTTCCAGCAAAAGATCGTACACAGCAAAGATTCTGCCACTAGAAGTAAACCTACAGTTATGCATGTCAAAATAAGGTAGGACAAAGATAATTGCTTCCCTATACCCACTAAAAAATCACAGCAGAGAAGCTGCCCCAACTGGTTGTACTCAAGTGCACTATTGACAGAAACATCTGGAGAAAATAGGGCCTAAACAAAAGGATCACAAATCCACGATAGGTATTTCATCTCACATGTAGACCATCCCGTTGTACATTCTCCACATACTAATTTCCGCCACAGATTAAGGACATGGAGTTAAGCATTTACAGGACCATTAAAGTTTTCAAATTATATTGAGTGAAAGCCTGAGAATTAATTTATTCTATTCAATTCATAAGCACAATTTGATGCACATGACCATTAATTGATAAAAGCACGTAAAGATGCATTACAACTTTTGCGGCAAATAATTTAAGATAAGGATGCTTCCATCCTAGACAAGCTAATTCTTTACCGCATTAGAAAAGGTATAACTTACGATACCACAATCATTATCAGAATTCCTAATACTTGCATTCCAGAACCTAGAACTACATTCATTCTATAGATTCAATTAGACAAGAAAAGGCAATCACAAATGTTACACTGGCAACAAATCGCAGTTTCCTACAAAATAAAATCAATTCCTGGTTACTCTATCCTACAAAATACAACCAACACCTTGCTTACTCGCCTTAGCCTTATAAAAGGGAGAAAAAGCACAATACATAATAGGTCAGTCGATAATATTATAAAAGGAAAAACTAACAAAGTTTCCCATCAGTTTCCGTTGAATACATAATTCAATTAAAAATGTATGCAAGAGATAAATACTTAGGTATTGGTTGGATTCGATAACCACATAATAACAACAAAAGCAAAAGAAAAGAAAATTTCTAACAAAAGCAAATGAATGGAAGGCAAATTAAATGAGGAAGATTAAATAACCTGAATTTTACGGAGGCGAACCGACCCATTGCCCTCCGCACCGAAATGCTCCTTCTCCATCTCTTCATCCTCAGGAATCGCATCGAGCATTCCATGCCTCGATCCTTTCCTTCTCGGACTGACCAAAATTGTCTTGGTCAATATCATCGGCACACCCCCACAACATCCAGCGATATAAACCTCGATGGCCGGGGCTGATATTCCCATCTTTGGCTTGAAGAAGGCCGAATTTCCTTCCCCGACCGATGCCGCCATATAACACTCAATGCTCCACCCAGTCTTCGAATCATTTTCCAGTCCCACGCTCCCATTTCCCCAAACAGATTCTATTCGCTCCAAGGAACCACACAGAAACAAGTCGTCGCTCTCCAACACCTCGAATTCTACAGCGCTGGTGACCCGCACGCTATCAGTGCTGACGTACGTGACCTCAGAGGACTCCTTATTGAGGCGATCACGGCGGAGGGTCACGGAGGCCGAATCCGCGGCAGGAATTCTGGAGCCGTTAATTTCAAGGGGCGTGCTGATTTCCCGGCGGAGGTGGCGAAGTGTTAGGTGGTCCGGCACGCTTTCGATTGCACACGGCGTGATTCTCACGTAGAACAATCGGATTTCGAGCCACGAAGAATTGGTTATGAGATGATAGGAATTGGATTCCTGCTCTTGGTAATTCATCGAATCCTAGGATCACTCAAATCGAAAGCACGGGAAACAAACAGAAACTGAACTCGGTATCGCGGGAATTCAGATGCTTAGAATTGGAAACATCAAAAGGTATTGATTTGCAAATTTGGATTTGGGATTCTGAGAATCATATCAGAATTTGAGTTTGGGATCGAAACAATAGTTTTCTCGAAATCGATAAGGAATTTCCAAAATTTTTGATGGAAGGAAACAGGGTTTTGGATGGCTTGATACAAAAATTAGGGTTTCTAATTGCGATTTTAAAAGACTTCCATTAAAGATTATTGCTGGTGGAAGATATTTAGTCAAGTTTAAGGATTTTTAAAAACGATATTGTGAAACACAGAAGAGGGCAAAAGAGTTGGAGGAAAAATATAGTATATTCTTAAATAACGGTGATATAACGTGAAATCATCCTAGTCCGAGACAAAACCTTTTTTCTTCTTCCATGCAATTTTGTCCTACTCTCAAAATAATCTCAAATCCCATCGAAATTATTTTATTTTATTTTTTAAATAAATTTTAATGATGTTTCTAATAATTTAAAAAAATATTTCTTACAGTTTTTTTCTTTTTTTTTTTCATATAAAATACAATGTAAAACTTTTTTTTTTTAAGTTGAATAATATAAATTCCTATCACTTAAAAAAATGTAAAAAAAAAAAACATTGGCCATGGATAAATCCAACTTCCAACCTCATACTTTATTTTGCTCTTCGATTTATGAGATGGAAACGAAAATTAATCATTCTGTTTCCTAAATATAAAGACAAAACAAAATCCTTGGAAAAAATATTCTATTCAAAAAAAAAATAGCGAGACAGCGAGTGAGAGCGGACACTTGAATGTGACTTACACGTGGAGTTGTCACTTTGTGCTGCGGAGGTGCTGGAGTTAACGGCAAGGAAACGGCGTTAAAATGTTGAAAACACATTGACCAGGCTTAAGCGGGCCAAGAAAAAATTGAGTAGGCCGGATTCGGTTAACCAAAGATGGGCCAACTCCATGGTTTCGAAAAATATAAGTATCTCATAGGCCTATGAATAATACAATGAGACCAAAACCATCATCCATTGTCCTTGAAATATCTTGAAGGGCCTCCACCAGCATTTTATTTTTCCTTAATGGGACAATACGAATGGTTAGGAGAACAAACACGAGCCTACAGTCTTATCGTGGGCCTTATCCACATCACATTGCAAAAATAGGCCGGCTACTCCTACTTTTTGGATCCCACAATAAAGATTCCCTCATGATGCTATACAAATTACAGAACATATAAACCGCAGGGTATTGCAGTGACTAAGCAGAGAGGAACGGGTTGAATGACCCATGAAGTCGTAAAGTCAAGTGTTGTAAAAGTTTCACAGGTTATCCAAAATAGCTTGATCTCACCTTGATAATCATATGATTGAGTTACAGAGTCCGCATTTTAAGGATGGAGTGGCATCCATCGTTATACTAATATTTAATTTAATTGTTCCAAACACATGTTTGCTATCAGAAAGGGTTTTAAAGTCTTTTTTGACAAAAAATATTACGATGTGCTGACAGACCCATACCAATACCATACTGCGCCCACCCTGACCAAAACGGTCAAACGCAATATGTAAATTAATCGTCTAAGTCTAATCTTGAACCTAATGGATTAGAATATATCACAGTAGTAATATGAACTTTTGAGGTAAGTCAAACTTAACTTTTACGGAGGAGGGTGAAAAATCCTTTTTAAACCCGAACGATCCTAAGCCAAAAGGCGGCCACCATATCATCACAGAAACGAGAAATAATAAAAAATCTAAAATATTGAAATCCACTAGCAAGTAATGGGCAGGATGGACTTTTCAATCACCTTTCTTGTTCCAAGTGTTGGAGGATGAAACCATCCTCACCCGCTAAGTGTAACGGTACAGTGACGAGAGGGGTCACGTGTCAAATACTTGAACAAGTATAGTGAGTAACAGACTCCGAAATGGCTGCGTTCTAAAGTTACGGCGGAGTACACCGGATCAAAATTGTTCAATTATCATAAATCAATGCCGGAGATTTAATTAATGCCGCCGTGATCATAAAAACTCGCAGGTATCTGTTGACATTTGACCAGTGGGTCCGCTTTCTCATCCTCTACGCCCAATATTACCTCAGTGTCACGGGCTGTTTATACACGCGCCACTAACTAGCACTTAAATCAACAATCACTGCATTTTAAATTTTACTAATGTTGCGTAATGGTGATCAAATAGAGCATATGATTTAATATAATATAAAATTTTCTCCATTTTTTTTAAATAACAATTATACTCATTAATTGAAACTGTATTTATTGAATAATTAAATTTCATAATTGAAAATTTAAATATTTAATATTAACTTTAAAAATTTATCCAAATAAAGTCGAATATGTTTTAATTTGTTTACAACATTATACATTTGAAATATTAGTATATCAAACAAAATGAAGAGATAATGTACACTATTTTATAACAAAATACACCAGTGTTATGAAACAAATGATAAATATGACTTAAGATTAGTATGTAGTTTGATTCGATTTGTATTGAATTAAATTATAATGAGAAATTTTTAAATCAAAATTTAATTGTTAATTGAATAACGTATAAGAATCGAACAAGAAGGTTTTCAATACCTTTAATATTTCAAACTAATAGAGAGAAAAGTTTTAAGAGTGCTTAATTGTCAATAAATATAAATACAGTAATCCATTTTTCCAAAAACAAAATTGATTTATTATTTGTGGTCTAATGTGGATCCACGCTCCTTTCAGTCGCGTGGAACGGACGTGGAAAACAATAGTTGTTCAGGCTTAGCGTACCTGAGACTAATGGACTATATAGCGCCACTAGTTACTCTCTTTCCATATTCGAGCACTGAATCGTTTCCTTCTCACTCTCTCCCTCTCTCTCTCTAACTTTTCTTTTTCTCTATCCTATTCTGCATTCTTGTTTTGATTCGGATTTTTTTGGTTCCATACTCTCTTCTTCTATCTTTCTTTATCAACAAAGCATTATTCGATTTCGTCTTTGCCTCTCTTTCTATACCTTTTTTTTTTTCCTTTTTTTTGAAATCCCATCTCCTCACTCATCTTCCTTTTTCTCTATTTTCAACATTCTCTCCTCTCTGGTTTTGATCTGCCTATCCCTGAAGAGGGCTTGCTAGAAATGAAGGTTTGATTCCTTTCTTGGAATCTGTTCTTTTACCATTCTTTAATTGTTTTAGATTCTTCGTTGATTGTTTGGATTCTTTTTTTTTAATCTAATTGGAAGGTATTTAAAGAGAATCTAACACATTTCTTATTAATGATGGTTGATTCCTAAGATAACCCATTATCATATCATAAGGGTCCCTTTGTGGGTTTGGTTCAAAAGAATCAACACTTTGATTGCATCCTTTCTGTTCATATATTCGTATACTTTTTATAGGAAAGTTTTGTTTAGTTAATGAGTTTTAGTTTGTCACCTTTAATTAACAATTAATTATGAAAGCAATGGAGTAATTATGATTAAATGATATTGTTGCGTTTGTTGTTCTTGTTTCAACTTTCCTAATCTTTTAGTTCAGTAAAAGTTTAAATTATTGCAATTTTTCAGTCCAAAAAGTTGAAAACCATGTGAATTTTGGTATCTGTGATAATGATTTCTATCAGAAACTTGCATTGAACATGAATAGATCTGTTTGGTTCATAATCTTGCAGAAATTTATACTGAAGTTGGATATAAATGATGACAAAGCTAAGCAGAAGGCTCTCAAGACCGTGTCTACTCTTTCAGGTATTATAAATCTTTTTAATAAATTGACACTTTTAAATTATCTCTTATATGTGTAATTATTATGAATTTAATTGGATTTTAGACACCAGCTAAGTAATTATCACAAAATTAGAAAAAAAAAAAAAAAAAAAAACGGATCTTGCCTTTTTGTTTGTTCCTTCGTTTATTCATTTATTTATTAAGCAAGCAATATAAATTAGTGGTCTTAATTTTTAAGTTAAGGTAATTATTATTATTCTGGTCACAATTGTTTTAGTCTGCTAAGTAATTATTCTAGCAATAATAACACCACTCAATTATTATTTTATTATTATTATATATAAATATATAAAACTGTTAATACTTATATTATAAAATAAGGAAAGTGGAATTAATCGGTGATAGTAGCGTCAATATCACGCAAATGCATACAAATTGAACCCAAACAAATATGTGATGTGAGGATAGAAGATTAGATAGAGGTGGAATGTACCTGTTGAAGACGAAGGAAATTACTGCAGCTGAATTCTGTTAAGGGGGTGGGGGTGGGGGTGGCATGGGGACACATACCTAACAAAGAGTCTGCACGAAAAAATTGTATAAATTATCAACTATATTCTTTTTTTTTTTTTTAATTTGTTTGATGCAAAGGTAGTAGTATGAGACAATTCTTGCATCCCCAATTTGAAAGATTTGAAAAAGATAAAATCTTTGGTACTCTCCAATTTGCATAAAGTAGAAATGATGGAGTTATTGCACATGAAATTTGTATTATTGCACGGATTGTAGTTGCGATGACATTATGTGCTTGTGAAGAAATTCGAAATGTCTTTCTTACTCTTTCTTTTGTCCATGCATTGAGAGATACTGATTCTAATTGGTTAAAAAATTGTTTTTTTTTTTTTTTTTTTGTAATTTTAAAAAATTACAGGGATTGATTCCATTGCCGTGGACATGAAAGAAAAGAAATTAACGGTGATCGGCACAGTTGATCCTATAACTGTAGTGAGCAAATTGAGAAAGTATTTTCAAACAGATATAATCTCAGTAGGGCCAGCGAAGGAGCCTGAGAAGAAAGAAGAGCCTAAGAAGGAAGAACCCAAGAAAGAAGAGGAAGCTAAGAAAGAGGAACCAAAGAAAGAAGAGGAAGCAAAGAAAGAGGAGCCCAAGAAAGAAGAGGAAGCGAAGAAAGAGGAGCCCAAGAAAGAGGAAGAAAAGAAAGAAGAAGAGAAAAAGACAGAAGCAGCTCCAGCAGCAGCACCAGTTGCAGTTGCAGCTGCACCACCACCAGATCCGGTTTTAGAGCTTGTTAAGGCTTACAAAGCTTATAATCCTCACCTCACCACATATTATTATGTGCAAAGCATTGAAGAGAATCCAAATGCTTGTGTTATTTGCTAAGCTGGATGGCTATATAAGTTTAAGGACAAGTATATATAGCTCTCTTTTTGCCCCAACTGGTGATGGGTTTTTTTCAATCTTATCAGTTGTTCAAGTGTGTTAAGAGGCCAAAACCTAAGAAGAGAAGAACCTTGTATATAAAGTGGTGATGCCTCATTCTTCTATTCAGAAGAATAGTAATGTGTAGAGAAGAATAAATGAAATTTTGTAACTTGTTCTTTCTTTATTTTTCACATTTTCTTTGGGGGTAGAAAAAGGCGGTGTTAATCCCATAATTTGGAACTTGTTCTTTATTATCTTAATCATTACTTATTATAATTAGACATATTATTTGTTTTATTTTTTTTAAAGTTCTGTTATTTTCCATTTAATGCCGCTATTTTTAGCCAAATTGAAAAGGCAATCTCATACTATGGTTCCAGACACTCATTTGATAATCAGGACTAATATATACTCCTTTGATTTTTATGTTCTTAAATACTTGTCATATTTATAAATTTTACAAATAATAAATTGCTTTTTTCAATTCTTTAATAATTGATTATAACTTAAACAATTTAAGGATAATATAATCAATTCACTCAATAATTTTTATAATATAGACAAATTGAATAATTTTGACGTGAAATAAACAAATGTGATAAGCAGTTGGGGAGGAAGTACATAGTTATTTCTGCTCAGCAATACTTTGAGGCCAAGAGAACAAAAAACATCGTATGAGAATTAATTCAAAATAAATGTTAGCCTCAGGAGTTAATTTACAGGAAAAGGGGAATTTTTTATGGTGGGTCATAAGAGATTCTTTCATTTTCAGATCTCACATTTTCTTGTGTTGCATGAGAAATGAAGGGTCCTAAAATAAAATTTTGTGGGCATCAATAATGTCTGCCGTACTGTATTTTTCAGGCTTTCAGCTAAAGAGTGATGGCATGGTCCATCCGCACTGGTCGGTGGCATTATCTAATCATTCTGCAAATGACTCCAATCCTCTTTATATGCCACTATTTAGCTTATGGAATTTTCTGTTTCAGGAATGTTCTGGGTAAATATGTCAATTACAGAGATAACTTATATATTAATTTAAAATTACTTCTGATTTGTTGTCACTTGGCAAATCACAGTGCATTTTTTCAAATAAATAATTATACAACCTTCCTAATCTTCCCAATTTGGCAGAGGAAAGGTTGTTTTCTTTAAATTAACTTTCAAGGTTTGGTACTGTAATTTGATTCGAGATGGGTTGAATTAGCTTTTGAAATTATAATAGTATTATATAATATTTATACAATAAGACAAGAGTAAAAAACAATCAATATCAATAATTCTCTTGGCTCTTATAATTACTCAGACCCTATACTGTCTTATTCGTATATATCATTAAAGTACAAATGCATGTGGTTAATAAGCATCACGATCCGCATAATTCCTTGTTGGTTTCCAACCTTTGATGGCTACATGTGCTTGCCGTGTACTGTTAATCAGAACACATATAAATAATGCATAATTAAGTTAACAGACTACTTAAAAAAACAATTCAAATGTTAACGACGTGTGATTCGATTTGTCTTCTCATATCTGGTATAAGATGTACGGAGCGAGAGATTTCGAGTTGAAGACCTCCTCATCATAAAAGTTATCACTAATTTAATGAATATTATTAAAAAAAATATAGAGGATTACCAGGGAAAAAGAAAAAAAAAAAAAAAAAGTTAATGGATCCAAGTCCTTTTAGCACTTTCCTTTCAACCTTTATCCGTGGGCTTGAAGATAAAGGTTAAGAGAAATAGAGAATTTGAAATTAAGATGGGAAAGAAAGTCTCCGCATTGAAAGAAAAGTGGCTTCCATTTCAAGCGTCCATGTTTTTATGCTTTTATATACACTTATCTAAATTTACATAAATAGATATGTAGATTGTGAAATTTACAAAATTTTACATTATTTAGTTGCAAAAATAAATTAAATGCTTTAAATTTATTATTTTTAGTAATAAAAGATTGATAGAACTTAAAATTTCATATCTTTTTAAAACTATAAAATTGAGATTATATCATAAAACTATATGTAATTTAAAATTACCTAATAAATCCATGAATATTAAATTTTACCGCTTAAATTCTAACCGATGCTTTAAGTGCTAATTAGACGTTGATGGAACAACGATAATCCATCCACGTCATTCCATACTCACTTGGCATTGACAAAAAATATGACATGTGAAGCACCATCCGTTAGGTCAAATGACGTAAAAGGGCATTTATATGTGGTTTGGGTTTTTATTTATAAAATATTACAAATATATATTTTCACATTCCCAAAAACTGAGTTCCATTGGCCCATTAGAGGGAAGAAAGGGCAATCTAGAAATTTCGGTAACAATTATATTAATTCATTCCTTACGTATTGAAACTTGCAATTAGTTTGGTTTTTATAACTAATGCAACATTCTTCGATTTGTATTTAGGAAAAAAAAAAACAAGGAAAAATGCCCCCCATATTAAAAATTAATAAAATATATAGTTTAATTTTGTAATTTCCTTTACGTCATTCACATAATTAAGAAAGACTAACAAATAAATCATTAATAGTAATAGAATTAATTTAATTATTTAATATTAAATGAATAGTTTATGGATAAGGCAAAATATTGTATATATATAATAATAATTTAATTATTATTAGTGAGAAGAATTAGTTTGGACAAGGAAAAAGAAACACTTTATAGGAAAAGGTCATATCATATAAAGAACATACGTGCAAGCAATATCCATGAAGTTCACTCAAAAACTCCCACTTATATTATATCACTTCGTCTTGGATTAAATTTAAACCAAAAATTTTATCCATATTAAGATATAAAATCCAAAAAATGCATAACATATCTGGACAAGCATTATGTGATTACAATGGCATGAAGGAAATTCTCTTTTAGGATAAAAAAACAAAAATAAATATTAAATTACATAACTTGTCTAACCTCTGAACGATGAGATGAGATAATAGATATTTTGTCTCAAAAGTCTCGAATTTCAATTCTAACTAGATATAGATCCGTTTAAACGCTCGAACTGAAGCGTTTTGTCTCTTTTATAAATATAAGTGAGAATTCGGATTAATTTGGCACCAGCATAGAAGCTGAATGATTTAAAAATTAATAAAGAAAAAATCTTTAATTTTTTTTTGGCGTGTCTGTCACTTGGCAACTGAGACACTTACCTGCAATTGCTAGCTGCATTTATCTTATCATCACACGTATATTTTGGAGTTTTAGCCGCTGCTCAACTTAATACTTGTTTCATAATAAATATAATACTTATAAATGAGAAAAAAAAAAAAAAAGAAAATTATAGGAAAAGATAAGGTTGGAAGCTCAGTATACTTTCCATCGAAGTTGGAAGAAAGTAGGAGCAGTCAGGTTTTACAAGTTAAATTAAATTTAGATTTGTGCTGTAAGAAGCAAGAAGATGCAAGAAATGTTGTTCTTTGAAAGATATATTACATATGACTTGTGAAAGGTCCTTTTGCTTGCACAATCGTTCCACTCACTGGCAATGGTACGTACTGTTCTTTACTCGTTCACATATTTAATGTGTGTTTGTAATTGTGTAATATAAGTCTGCTTGGACATGGCTTATCGTGATTGATTGCTGCTTCAATTAGCTTGTTTTAAAGCACAAGAATCTCTCTCTCTCCCTGTAGCTTACGTTATTTCTTCAATTATATATTTAGTCTTTTAGGATGAAGTTATTAGTTTTATATTCCATTAATTATGTGCATGCTTAATAAAAGTAATCTAAAATTTGTTTACCTATATAATTTGATAATTTTTTTTCCTTCTATTTCTTTATTTTTTTTTTTTTTGAAAAATATTAAATTATTTGAGTTCGTTCCTGATTTTCTATATTACGAAATATCTACTCCACCATTGCACTATTCATTATTTTTATATATTATTTAATTTAAAGGATTAAGTTGATGATTTGAGTATGATAAATATATTAAAAAATGACTATCTACCAAAAAAAAAAAAAATGATTTTAGCACTATAAACTTTTTAGCCATTGTAACGAAATAATATTGAATTGAGAAATTACATATTTATCGATATTATTATGAAATATTAATTCTCTTATCCAATGATTATTATGAAATATTTATCGATATATATACAGATAATCACTCAGCTAATCTTTCTCCGTCTACTATATGTTACGGAATGAAATGAACACTTACCAATAACGAGTTTGACTCTCACCCAACCGAGTATGAACTACACTGTTTATATGCCAGCTGTTAAAATCCACCGACCGCTGACTCTGTATCTGCACACACAAACATATATATATATATATATGATAATGCCTATCAATTAATGCTCTTGGGCCAGTAGTGTAGTACAGGCAAAGATAAGCTTGCGCAAGTCAATTTCAACATGAATTAACATCACTGTGTAAAAAGGTCGGTTCAGTTGCTGACAGACACAAGAAATTAATTATTGTCATCGAATAGGCAATAAACCGACACATCATAACGTATATATATCAGTACGAACATCCATATGTATAGTGGTGGGTCACGAGCTGGTCTTATGACAATGCCAAGTTATTCATTGTTTTTTCAGGTTTTAACTGTAATAATTCACTAATCCAATCATTTAGTAACAATATGATTTTATATTTAATTATTTATTATAAAATCAAGTTTATTACTATGATATTTCGTAATTACTAATATTTTAAATGCATAATAACAAGATTGAAATTTGTAAATATAAAATATATATTTTTAAATATTGCAGAAAATACAGAGAATATGTGAGAATTCAAATTTATCATAGAAATTATCATTAATTTAATCAATATTATCAATGAGAAAAGCTATCATTGCTTTATAGCCATAATACTATTCTGATCCAGAGAGAGAGAGAGAGAGAGAGAGAGATAATGTTACCTGTAACGTACTGTACAGATGCATGAAGACAATGAATTGCTTGTCCTCCTTAGATTATAAGTATTACATGGATGTTTTAAAAACGTTTTGGAGGTGCAACAGATTACGTATATGTGGATTGTAGCGATTAATAAGACATGTGTATCAATATCATCTTTTAATATTTTTCTTATTTGTTTTTTATATTGATGACTTGGAATTTTCTCAGACTGTGTCATCTTTGACAAGTTAGGCATCGCCGTTAAGATTTAATCAAAGAGCTCATTAGTAAATATTTTATATGTAAGGAATGAATGCTCATGTCGTGATCTGATTCTGATCTCATCGTTCAATTACAGGTCATTTTATGCCTTTTTGTTCATATCAGACACTGCTAATATTCATTCTCTTTTTCGCTTTTTTTTTAACAAAAAATAAAAAAATAAAAATCTTATATTCAGGAAATTGGAATGATGTAATTATTAATGTGCCATACTTATTAGCCCATGGAATTGGAAAGTTCACATTTTTTCTCTTGAAAAAGGAAAGTTCACATATTGATTTGTGATTCATATGTTTCAAACTTTATTGTCCAAACAAACAATAATTAGGGATAATTATAGCAGATAAAAATTGAATCACGTTTAATAAAAGTTTCTATATAGGGACAATTGAAAATCAAATACCAAATATTTGGGACGTATGAAATTCTATAGAGCATATGAATCACGGAATGAAAGAAAATTTCCCATCAAAGAAACTTTATATACATATATATAATATAATATATATATATATTATTAATAGATAACTTGATTTTCAGAAATAACCATTGTATTAAACAGTGTTAATGGACATTTAATATATTGTTTTCAATGCAGAAAAAAATCTAACATACAGCTTCCAAACTAATGGGAAAACAATAATAATAATAATAGTAAATAAAAATGACAATTTTCGAAATTAAAAGAAAGGATCTAGTTGGGAAATTAACTAAGTTGATCTTATTGTTCAACAAGTAGCTATAATTTCTAATTAACTACCCAGTATATAATTTTTGAAAATTACTTGGCACGAACAAGCGGTGAGTGAGGCATTGGAGAGTGGGGTGACATAATGTGGGGTGACATAACTGCCTCCTCACATCTTCTAGCAGAAAAACTCAGCCTAAGATTTTTCTGCCATCTTTTATTACTATTCGTGTTGGTCGGCAGTTCTTGATTCTCCTCTTTTCCCCTAACCACAAATTCTCTTATCCTTTTCAAAGCAGCTTCAACGGTCTCATCATCCATATTCGCAAAGCAAACCCTATACCAACCTGGCTCTTTACAGTGAAATGAAGATCCCGGCGAAACATTCAGCTTCACCTCATTTATAATAACTCTCCAAAGCGCCATTTCTCCATCAAAAGTTTTTTCTTTAAGAAGATGGCGTAAATCCATCCAAACAAAAAGACCGGCATTGCTTTTTAAACAACCGATCCCTACTTGTTCTAGTCCTTTCGTAAACATACTGTGTCGTTTTTTTAACCTTTTCGAGCTCTCCGAAAGAAATTTCTCCACAAAACACTCATCAGACAGCATGGAAGCAAGCAGATGTTGAGTTTGCGAAGAGACGAGGCCAAAACTTGACATTTTTCTTCCACAGCTTACGACTGCATCATTGTACGAATAAACTATTCCAACTCTGAAGCCAGGAAAACCCATGTCTTTAGATAAGCTATACAAAATGTGTACTAAATCGTGGTTACAATCCATTTCTTGAATTATCTCTGCTATGCTTACGAAGCTTGGGGAATTGAAAATGGTGGCGGAGTATATTTCATCAATGACTAAATGAATGTTTCTTGCGTTGATAAAGGTGACCAAGTCTTTTAGTGTCTCTCTGTCTAAGATTGTGCCTAATGGGTTGGATGGGTTTGCAAGGATTAAACCTTTAATGTTAATTCCAGCTTCTTGGGCTTTATCATATGCAGCTTCTAATGCTTGTTTGGTAACTTTGAAATTGTTGGAGCTATAACAGTCAACTGGAATAATCTGGATGCCGGTTCTCCATGAGAGATCACGGTCAAATCTGCATGACACAATCAAAAAATTTCCATGAGACAAGCTTCCTAGGTAGCTTCTTGTAATATGTACATATATAGTGGTCCTAGACTTCATTAAAAAAGAAAATAAAAAGGTTTTAATTTTGGCGAGGCAGAAATGACTATAAAAAGTCAAAGAATAGTATTTGAATTTGGAAAATTGAAGATTTGGTTGGATAAATTTTCAAAGAACAAACAGCTGTAAGCATTAATCAGTTTCAGGTTTGAACATTCAGACGATGGAATTCTATTTGAATATGGTTTAGTAGTTAGATTGACAATATTGTTTGGCAGAAAAGTTTCCACTTAGTAAAATTAATACAAGTACATAAACACTTTTGCAACTAATTAATCTAAATATCAATATAATAATACAGCGAAATCAAAATGAAAAAGTGTGTTCTTGACCGAAATTTAAGAAATCAAACCCTAGTTTGAATTTGTTTCTGACCCATAACACGACTGAAAATTCCAGAAAAGGCAACTGAGTCAATTTTTGACTCTTTTGCCTTCCTGTGTCCTTTTTAAGTCGGTGATCAGGAGATGGTTGACTTTTTGTGCAAGTTAAATCCCGTTTCACACTTCATTTCAAAAGTCAAAACCACATTTGTCAATTTGTTCCCCTTATTCCATGTGTAATTATCTTTTCATAAAAATTCTCAAACTGCTTTTCATCATTAATTCTATTTATTGAAAAAAAAAAACTAGCTTTAGTCCTAATGACTTTAATCATGTTATTATTTGATTAACTAGACAGTGTCAACCTTTTAATTACCGCATTTTCATACATTAGTTAACATTTAGTGCTTGTAATCTAAAAACGTCTTCAAAATTGTTAAGTAACAAGTTGATTATGAGAAAGCATAAAAAGTAAGGAACAGTTCATACGCAGGATAGTAAGGAGAGGGAGCGAGAAAAGCATCTCCAGGATTAGCCAAACAGAACATTAGGAGCTCGCTTGCTCCCGTAGCTCCTCCACCCATGACTATACGGTTCGGATCAAACGTAACCCTACTGCCTCTAACCCTGCCCATAAATTTTGCAATCGCCTGCAAAAAATGACATACAAATATATATATTATTAATATAAACTCGACAGGATGTACGTCAATAGATATTATTTCATGCACATGCAGAAATACATAGACACATATATATGTTGGAATACGTGAGTAATCCCAAGTTGGATAAATACAACTAATTAAAAGGGTATATAACGTGAAGGATGAACCAACCAAAATGGCTTAGGACACAGAGCCATTTTGTGTTAAAGTTAAGCTCAACTTATTATAAGCTCAATATTAAATATATAATTGAATTTGATTTTATTAATTGCTGCTAGGTTTAGATTCTCAACAATATACCTGTCTGAACTCCGGCAAGCCATGATAGTCTTGAAAGTTAGCAATATCCTTGAACATAGCAACTCCTTCAGCAGTGCAAATGGAAGCTTCAGGGTTCTGCTTAATCCAATCTCTAACTAAATCAAAACAAAGCTGCAATTAACAAACAAATTAATTAGTCCCATGTTTAGTCAATTAAACGTACAAAAAATCATCAGAATAATCAACCGTATGTCCAGGAAATTCATTAACCTGATTTTCTGCAAGACCCATTTGGATTACTCCTTCAGGATTATCAACAGGGTGAAAAGGGTTCCCATCGTATGCTTTCCATCCATCGAAATATGGAGAATTTTCTCCATGTCCTTCATTGGTCGCAATTCTAGACAAAAGTTGACTGTTCACCATTTTCTAAACTAATGCAATGATATCGAGTTAACTAAGGAAAGAATAGTTTGAGCAGAGAACAGAGGACTGAAATTCTCTCTTGAAGTAGGTAGCTAAGTTTTGAAGTGAGCAATAAGAAAAGATAGGAGGCATGGGTAATTTATAGGGAATGGATTCGATTAAATACAATCCAAGAACAGGAAAAGTATTTTTTCAAAGTTCAAATGTTGATTTGGAATTAAACTAAACAGCAGAATTTTAGTGTACAAAGAGTTTATTTTAAGTTTAATTATTTTCTTGCTAGTCAAGCGTAACGGCTTGCGTATTGATAATGATATCACACATATGCGGTTAAGCACGTGTATAGAAGAGAAAAAGAAAGAATAGCATTTCTGGTGGGATTCTTTAGATTTTTCATTATGTTTTTGGATATTTAAAGCTACTGTTTTGATACTTGCGTTAGGTCTATGATTTAATAAGAAAATCAATTAATTAAAGATGTAAAGAAATTAGCTTGAGTTTAAAAAAACCGTACAAGTATATATCCACGACTTCCTAGAAATTGGGTAAATATAAAATAGTTAATTTATAAGTAAAATTAGTTATACTGTATCAGTAAACAGTTAGATTGATCGACAAAAGTGTAATGTCTTTTCATATTAACTTTACCAATAAAATTAAAGTTCGAAACTTGTAGTTTCACAGTTGAAATTGCTTTATTTAAATATTACTCTTGTCAGTGTAAATACATGTGTAAAAATTATTTTATATATACAAGGTTTGAAAAAATAGAAAGAAACATATAGTCTCGAATTAGATAGGTTTAATTTGCTCAAAATTGAATTTCTTTTTGGACGGTAGTTGGATGTATTCTTAGAATAGGTAATACACGTGACAAGGTTCAAAAATAATGTCCCCACCACTTTTACTTGCTGTATAGATCATAGTCTGGCATGCAGATGCAGTTGACACTTAATTCTCCTTTTAATGGTGTTTTGATGTGTATTGAGAGTGGAGATGTGAAGGAGAAGAGTAGGATTTCTTCTTCTACTTCTTCTTCTTCTTCTTCTTCTTCTGGTATCAGGGTCCACGTATTTTCCTTCTTCTGGCTTCCTACTTTCTGTGTTAGCTCTTACACGTTTTGGATCGTTTTATTCTTTTATGGGAAAAATACTTATCCTTTCGTTTTAGTACTTGATAGACATTTAGCGAATTTATTGCACAAGTAATTTACATACGGATGCCACATGTAATATATCTTAATCAATAATCACTACCTTTGTACTTAAACTTAATAAATTTTATTTTATCCATTTATGCTTATGTCTATGTTGTTTTCTTTATCTTTTTAAGTTAATTGTCGTTATCTAAATATTAAAAATAAATTAAACTTATTATAAGAATTGACTAAATTGATAAGTGAATTATTTATTCTTCATTTATTAGACAAAGTTCGAATTTCAGAATTAGACTCAATATATTTTTTTTTTTTAATTTATGAAATTCTCAATTTGAACATAGATGGTCTGCTTTTAATAAGATTGACAAGATGAATTTAGGGTATAAAATTAGTTCGTGATAGTACCTTACCTCTAATCTTGAAAAAAAAAAAATTGAACCAACAGATTTTATTTCGAGAAAATCATTTAAAAATATGAATTGAAATTTTTATTAGATAAAGAAAAATTGATATTTAAACGGAGACATGGATAATTAATTATGAATAGAAGGGAAATCAGATTATAATAATTGATTTGTTTTCATTTTGACTGTTCCCAATAGCTTTACGCACTTGGGAAGATGTACCAGTGGCCAGATTTAGTTCGAGATCATAGACTACATTTCCTTTTCCATTGCCTTTATCCATTTATCATTGGCTGGACATGAGAATGTCTTCTTGACACTCTTTGGTTCCTTATCATCTTGTAGGGTAATCATAAAAACTTCATTAATTTAATGCCTTCGACCTCAAAACGTTGGCGATGAATGTTTCCACGATTACTACGTCTTAATTGTAATTCTTGTGAAATATTTTCATCAAGATTCATAGGACTCTCACTCAAACTAGGATCTACTAATGCTTTAGTAGAACTTGGATATGTTCTCCCACGTGGACCAGGATCAATCTCATTCGGATTCATTAATAGATACGGATTATTAACAATATTTTCCTAAACGTGGTACGTGTTCTGTATAGAATTAGCCATTGAAAACGTGCTACATTTTTGTTGCTAAGCAGGCAAAAGTCTTCTTATTCCCTGTTATAGCTAGTAAAGCTTTCAAATTTATGGTTGAAATGAAATTAAATGCACATGGTGCGTCAACGTGTATCATGAGATTTTTTTTTTTTGCAGAAAACTGTGATTTCATTTTTACGTGCATTACTGAAAATCAATCTTCCTTTTTTCAAACTCCATCAGATTAATCATACCGCCTCTGCTTCCTCAGCAATGTCAATTCTTTCTTCTTCTATCTCATGAATCACCATTTTGTCCTCTTCGTTGCTGGCTTATAAATGGAAATTTTTCTATAGCAAGCAAAATAAAAGCTATGCGCCTGTCTGAATCAGCTTTTTTGTTTCTCGTCATTTGTCTGGTCTAATGGAAGATTTTTGCAAGAGAATTACATTTACCATACTAGTATTAATTTTTATTTGATCAATAGTTGTAATTTTTCTTTTCTAATTGCTAAATTTGGTACCTCTTTCCTTTTAATTTAAATATCTACTACGTACATACTATATTATCAATCGTTGGTAGGATATAGTATAAAAAAACAGGTTTAGATACTAATTAATTAGAATTCAATTAATAAAAAACTTTTTCTAATAAATGCTTATATATGAATATTTATTCATATAATTAAAACAATTTATTAATTTCGAGTAACTTTTTTTTATGTAAATAATATCTATAAAGTGAGAGGAAAGAAAGTATTTCTATAAAGAACTGCAGAAAAAAAAAAAAAAAAGATTATCTATAAAGTGAAGAGAAAGAAAGTTATTGTCTTATAAAGAACTGCTCCAGGAAAAAAAAAAAAAAAAAAAAAAAAAAAGATAGAGGGGACAATACAGAGAGACAAGGGATTGAAATTGTTTTAAAAGGGTTTTAAGGAAAAAAAAAATTCAAAATTCCAAGGTTACAGTGCTCACATCTAGAAAGGTAAATTTATCGAATTCTTTTATTTGGCTGAAATAATTCATGAAATTAATAAATTCTATCATAGTTTTATTATTATTATTATTATTATTTGAATTGTACTAATAAATATAGCCATAGGATGTCAACAAGCATGCGTTTAGTGTATTGACAATAACAAAATGAGAGTGAAAGTCCCTAATTACGCCTTAACAAATTGAAAGTATATTTATTTATTTATTTATTTATTTCAACTGTCATCGTTTTAGTTAATAAATGCACGGACTTACTTTCTTTTTGACTTTTTATTAGATATGTTTATTACTATTCTCTCGATTACTTGGAAGACAGGTTTTTATTTTATAATTTTATGGTGGTTGTTTAGAGAATCTTTACATGATTCACATTTGTTTAGATGATTGGATCTCTATATACATCTATTTATAATATTAATAAAATAATTCTTAATTAAATCCAACAAACATACAAAAATTTTAGATTTTATTGATGAATTTATGGATCTGACTCATATTATTATTATATGTATTGATCTTATCCGTTAATGAAAGTCAATAAAACTTGATGACGTGGCCTGAGCTACATTACGTTATTAAAGAGATTCTTTTTCTTTTTTCTGACCATTGAAAATTAGGCAACTGTAAATAATTTAATAATATCAATGGGCTTGACCGCAGATTAAGGATAACCCTGACTTTCTCCAGATGTTTTACCAATGTAAGGGGAGACAGTTGAATACAAGTATACTTTGCAGTTGCAGTATATAATACTCTTTCTCACCAGCAAAAATTGTGTATACTGTATCCATATACTCTGGTAGCTGCCAGTCTGCTACTAATTAATGACCGAAAAAGCACGTATTCTACTATTGAGGACCATCATTAACTCAAAAGTCAAACGCGTTTACTTTCTATTTATAGCTTTGATTATTTAAATGTACAATTATTGTACTAGGTATAAGCATACTTAGTATATTATTAATGGTATTATGTTGTAGTATTTGATTGCGTCTTCGGTCAATACTCGACAATATATAGGAGAAGCGTTCGGGGATTTGGGACTTTGTAATGAGAAATTATACAATTTGTGTTTTTAAAGGAAAAAATAAAAGAGATGGAATTTTAATTTTTTTTTTTTTAATCATATGTTGTTTATAACTTTCAAGTATTTAAAGAGACTTCACATTTAGACTTCAAATTTGAACATTTAATTAAAAAAAATTTTTTTTATTATCTCATCACACTCATCGGAAATAACTTATTTGTCAGGTAAATACACTCCACAATTGAATTATAATTTTAATATCTAATAAAATGGAGGATATTTGATTGTTCAATGTTATTTTGTTTAAGTTTTTGATATTTAAATTTGTATTTTTCAAAAGAAAAATTAATGAACCAAAGAAGCCCCGATTTTTAGTTGTGATACGTTTATGTTCCTCTTCAATAACAACATTTAATCTTTTCACAAGGATTAAGAAAATAATCGAAATATATTGATTTTATAAAAACATATGGTCAAATGTCTGAATTGTCTTTCTTGAAATTAAAAGTTCTCCATTTAATTTTACTACAAAATATCTAATAGCTATAGATAAAATTAAAAAAAAATAATTAATACTCTCGAAATTTTAAATCGGAACAAAATAAAATATTTTTTTTTAAAAAAAAAAAATCTGCTATTAAGATAAAACTTAAAAAAATATTTTTTAATAAAAAATGAAAGCATAATCAAGTTAGATTTGTCGACGACAGATCAGAGTCGAAGTTAGAATGGCTAAATAAGACATCTGTGTCAGTATAGTCATCGATGGCTGTTGACTTTCTGTGTCTGTCGCATTAAAAATTCCTTTTGGACCCGCAAAATTGTTTGGTTGTCTTCCATTTTCTACGCATTTTGTTTCCAATAAAATCTTCCATTTAAACATGGGTTAGGACTTAGAACTCAGACACGTGTTTATCTAGCCTAAGGAGAAGACAGATAAAATCCAAAACATTTAT